AGGGAGATCCCAGCTGAATTGGGAAGGAAGGTCAGTCAGGGGTTCCCCCATTCCTGGGTACAGAGCAGTTTCTTTTTGCAGGCAAAGAAGGGACTGTCACCCTCTGTAGAGACAGAAGGGAACAGGAGTTTGTTTTCAGGAATAGTCAAAGCATTTATATTTCTCCCCTCCCCAGCTTCCAGTCACTGCCTCCATCCTAATACAGTAATTTTCCAGAAACTGTATGTGTGATGCAGCATCCTTAGCAGGGACAAGTGAAGTGCCAGCCAGCAAACATAAGCAAGTCTGAAAAGCCTCCTTCAAGCGAGACGCCACTTCCAAGACATACTTGAAAACACAATTTTTTTTTTTCCCCTTTCAGTGAAAGTCTATTTAATCCTCCAGCTGGTAAACAACCCAATCTGTGGTGCACAGCAAGCTCTGGAAGGAAACCTCCTGATCACTGAAGCTCTGTTTTGTTCCACTGGACAGGGAAACTCTACAGCTTCACACGGGCCACGAGGGATGGGGCCAACAGCTCCATAGCACGGAATACCCACAGCACAGGCAAAGTACCCACCATGCTCCAAAGGCTGGAGCAAGCAAAGCCGTCAGTGGCACTCGGAGGAAAGGGCAGACTCTCTATCAACTGCTAAGCCACACTGGACTGTGGCAAAGTTCAACACTGAAGGAAGGGAAGGTACTACCTTTTTTATGCTAAGGGTCATCTCTATTTATATAATAAATATGATGCTGTACACATATGTATATGTAGACATAGATAAGCCAAATGCCTATTAAGTATTATAACCATACACAATAATCACTTAATATATAATATGTAGCTATAATAATAAATGCTCTTTAATTATTCATGTAATACATACTTTATATACATATTCATGTTACATGCAATGCATGTATTATCACCGATAAATATTTCAAGTATTTGCAATAATTCTATTATACTTTATAGTATAATCATTATTTACCTTACATAGGTGTGCACGCATGAACATGCCAAGTGAGGCTGTTCTAGTCTCTTTTGTGTCCCTGGTGCTCTGAGAGCTCCTCATTAGCTTCCAAGCCAAACTCCAGGACCAACCTGACCCATTTGGAGTTGCTTGGCCCCAAGTTTTGCAGACTGTCTGAGGCCAGGATGGGAACCCCCACGGTACCAGCTGCCTTTCTGAGAGCGGGGGGATATTACTACTGGGGTCCTCACTCCAGTGAGGCCAGGACTGGCACTTATCCCCAGGTATGCCCATGCTGTGCTTGCCCCAACTTGGCTCTGTGACAGAGGCACTCTCTGACTCAGAAGTCTCAGTGCTACTTCATATGGCAATGGCCATGCTTTGCTGCTTAAATAATTTATTTTTAATAGGCACTTGATAAGGGGGATTAGGATGGGAGGGTTTAAATAGAGTTTGCAAGGTTATTCCTTCCCTGAGGCTGAGCCCTGTGTGATCATCATGTTTACCTTGGATTTTTCCGTTTATCTTTGTGCTTCCTTTGCAAACCTGGGGTGACCCTGGCAGTGCTGCCATGGCAGCTCTCCCTTGGTTAGCACGGTCCTCCTGCCCAAACTCATCACAGCCGATGTAAGAACTCCAGCCTGGGCAGAAAATGGCACTGTCCAGTCAGTGTGATGCAGTGCCCAGCCCCACAGCAGATGAGCTGCCTCATTATCGGATAGGGTCTAATGGCAGCAACACCCATTCAGTGGTCTCTGCTCCTTTCAGTGCTTTAGCAGCCACTAGCATCCTTGCTTGGCTTTCTATGGGACCAATCCCCTTCCTTTTCCACAGCCCAGCTGCTCCCAGCCAGGCCCCAGATGCAGGAGGTCAGTGAAGAGTAACCCCCTGGGCACCAGCCCCGCAGAGAAGCTTTATTTCCCTGCAGAAATACCAAGTTTCTGTTTTGTGGTTTTTTTTGTTGTTGTTGTTGTTGTTGTTCTTTTTTTCTTGGCAGTGTAGAGCTTGTCTTTAAGGGCACTGAAAGAAGTCCATGCACAGACAGAAATGCCCCTTCTGCCCTTGGGGGGTTAACCCTTTGCTCCTTCTCCAGGTGGCAGCAGTTGAGCTCATTCCTGGTGGGATGGTTGGTTCTGTCCTCACCTCACTGCTCTTGAGGCTGCATGAGAAGAGTCTTCACCTCCATTCAAGATCAAACCTTGGCAAAAGCACAGCACAGTACAAGGTGTGTATTCCCACAGGCCAGATGAACCAAAGTTCCATTGCCACTAAGACAGACGCATCCCACAGGGCTGCATGCCGGTCACGTTTGAGATCCCAGCGGTGCATTTGTGCCCTTCATCACCGCACCACTGTCTTCTTTCTGGGAACACTCCCCTGCTCCATGCTCCTGGAGGGCAGACCCCAGGCATTCCCTTGTATTCCATGCCCTTGTTGCACATCAGGCACTGCCACATTCCCACTCCCAAGCAGAGGAGTAAACGAAATCCAGTTACACTTCAGAGGTGACCGAGGCTTCCTTGGTATTTTCTCCTCTAAAAACGAAAGCAGTGAAACAGTCAAAAAAGCCACAAGCAATCAGGATCCCTCAGAGAAATCGTTCCCAGCACACTTACAGCACATAGCCTGTAGTTGGGATCATCGGTCACACGGGGTCCTCCTAGCTCCGTCCCGCTCCCGTCCTCCAGCGCTTTCGGTGGGACTGGGGAGGGGTCGGGCCGTGCCTGCGGGAGGGTCGCAGCATCCCGTCCCCGCAGCATCCCATCCCCGCAGCATCCCGTCCCCGCAGCATCCCGACCCCGTCCCCGGAGCGTCCCATTCCCAGATGTTCGGCTTTGGCACAGGCAGAGCGTTTCCAGGCCCGGAAAGCTCCAGCCCGGGCTGAAAAGTGTTCACTTCACAAATACAAAGTGGCCCTTTTTTCCTGTTTGCACGGGCAGATTTTGATTTGGAAAGCGAGATTCAGGCAGGGAGGAAGCCAAGGGTATGACCTAAAAAGGTTGGATTGTGGACGCTGGTTGTCGGGTCTTTATAGAAAAAGCCCAAAGGTGGGTCCTAAGTGACCCAAGGGTATTGCCTTCAGCAGCCCGTGGCTGGGGCTGCAGGGCTGCAGTCGCTCCATACACGTGTGGCTGGGCTGTTGTTTGGGTCAATGGGTCAGGTCTGATGAGGATGCCAGGAACAGGCTGCCACTTAAACAGTCGTTCACAACTGAGACCATCTCCTCATCACCACCATTGCAGGAAAGGCTAGAAACCACCTAGCTAAAGAACAAAGCCCAGAGCTCACCCTTCCCTCACTTTCGCACCAAAGAGAGCCCAAAGGGGCTCCCAGACAGCCATATGTTGCCTAAATACCCACAGACAGCACAGCAGGGAGCAAGTCCATCTATCCTTGCCACTCACTGTGCCATCAGCTCTTTACAGGTACCTGCAGGGAACAGCATTTAGGAAAAGAAAAAAAAAAAAAATCCATCCAAAAATCCATCCCTTTGTGACTTTGCATCTGACCCCAAATTATGATTCATGACCAAAAGCAATGAAAAGATCTTGTGGAGACTTGAACAATTACTTTTCCAAGCAGAGGCAGTGCTAAGCGGGGAACATGAGACTCCTGAGAAAGCAGGAGGAACGCACTCCAAGCCTGAATGCTGCCGATGAAATTTGTTGCATCATATAATCTGTTTTTGTGCTTTGTGTTCCAGCCAGGCAAGGGAGATACTAAGACAGCATGAGAAAGGCCATTTCTGCAAGATCTCTAGTCCAGATTGGGAGAATCACTCAGACTGCCAGGATCACCAGCAGTTCCATTTACTTTTCTTTTTCATTGCTTTGCTAAACCCAATCTCCAAATGCAGCAAGCAGGAGGGAGTGTCAGCCTAGAGATGCCAATCAGAGGCAGAGAGGAAAAAGGTTAAGATATAACAGCTGAAAGTTGTTAGATGGAAACATTGTTTTTGAAAGTGCCTGAGAGCACTATGGTTTTATAAAACCTCCCATTGTATTGCACTAATAAGTCAAGTGTTTGCAGTCAAGCCAGCAGACACACTCTACAGCATCTATTACCAGTGTGTTTATTTACAAAGGCAGTCACCGAGCCAAAGCCGAACAGAAAAGAGGGAAGACTGAAATACGGTTTTAAAGAAATACAGCTCCTCGGACTGGTTTTAATTTAAACTCCTAGGGCTAGGTTTGTCATTTTCTTTTGTGTTTCACCCCATCCTCCCCTTTTTTAACTCAAGGAACGATTGTCCAAAGGCAGCCAGGCAAAGCGTTGTTTCCCTCTAGGTGTCTCTCTCCCCATTTTTATCCTCAATTTTTTCTCAAATACACACACACACACACACACACACACACACACACATACACACAGACAGGCACAAACATACACAGACACTTCTCTGGCCTCCCAGTCCAGCATCACCTTTCCATAACCACAGCAATTTCCCACATCCCACCCCAGTGCTCCCCGAAGCACTTTATAACTCAAACCCATCCCAGCACCCTCCTCACTTTCCCAGTGCAATGGTGTGGGAGGCACTGGCCACCCATGGGAGCAGCACATGGTGTCAGGGGAAGAGAAGCCAGCGCTGCTAGGGGGGTCCTGCTTGATCACTGAGGCCGTGGGCAGGACACGGTGGATGATGAGCAGACATCTGCACCCGTGATGTACAGCTGGCTTTACACAACAGTTATCACCTGCTGTTTGAAAAAAAACCAGGAGGTGTGGGGGCTGGATTTGACCAGAAATCCAGAGACATGCACACACACAGAGGCACTGAGCACTCTGTTGCTGGAGGCAGGAGAAAGCACTGTGGACCTGCTGCAAAAATGTCCTCTCTCTCTTTGGCATATTTTATATTCAAACTGAGAGCATGTGGAGAGGAACAAAAAAGCCCTCCAGGTATTGTCAGGGAGAAATGTGTGGTCAGAGTGACACACCTCTGCCTTCCCCAGCAATGGGGGATGGTGGGGGAAGTGGGACATAGACGAAGAGAACAAGGCAAAAAGAAAAAGTGTGAGCAATTTTCAACAAAGGGGAAAAGTAACATTAAATTATTGCTTTATTTCTGGTTCTATGCAAGTCTCTGACACACTCCACCCTGACCCCCAAGACACCATGTCTGCCCCTAAACAGCCCAGTAAGGAGGAGAAAGACCCGAAGGGATCCTGCCCAAAAAAGGAGCCTTCCCAAGACTTGGATCTATGGAGGAGTCCCTTAGTTAAAAGAAAGTCCCCAACCAAGGTAAGCCCTCCTACCCAGCAGTTTCCTGTCCCACCACCATTTCCTGTAGATATTAAAGGGTGGAAGGGGAAGGGAAAGGAAAAGCTCCAGTCTCAGTGTTTTGAGAGGTATCCTCCCTCGGGACCATCAGGATCTGGAGCAGACCTAATGAGAGGGCACAGGGAAGAAGTCAACCAAGAGATGAGCACAAGGTGGGAGGAGAGGAATTGTGGCAAGATGAGAGTTATCCAGCTCTCCCTCACCTCTCCCCACCAGCCCCTGCCTCATCGGATGCGGAGGTAGGAGGGGATGGAGTAATTGAAGAGCAAGTAGTCCATTTTGTATAAATTAAAGAGTCTCCTTTGGTAGAAGGGGCTAATGTCCTGGAAGAACTGGGCCGTCATGTCGTCCGTTGTCCTGGTGGTCTTGGACGAAGCTGGGAATTTGACGGTCGTGTCGGCCCCAATCAGCTGGAGGATGTAGTTGGCATCTTCGGCCAAGGTCTCATACTTGCCCACCACGTCATATTGGATGATGCAGGGGTGGCAGAGCGAGTGCACTCGCTCCCAGTGCTCGTTGAAGGGCCCCTCCTGCTGCGTCCGTGGATCCAGCAGGTAGTAGACGAACTCCTCAAAGCGCACGTCGTCCCCGCGCTCCAGGGCCTTGTCGCTGGGCTCCTGCCGGTGCCGCCGGATGATCTTGGTCCCGTAGCGTTTGTGGAAGGCCTGGTTGTAGCTGAGGGTGAACTTGTTGCGGTAGGCCGAGACCAGGCGCTCGAAGGGCTCCCGCACGAAGACGAACTTGAGGTAGCTGCGCAGGCGGTAGTTGATCTCGGGAACGCTGTACTCGGAGAGGGTGCGCAGGTTGGATGGGACGTGGGCCTCGTGGGCGGGGATTTCCAGTGGGTCCTGGTACTTGCCTTGCCCTGTCAGGACCATCATCACCCGTTTCCAGTTAGTGCAGGCCACTTTGGGCACGTAGCAGTAGAGCAGCCCATGCGTGTCATCCACCACCAAATGCCGCAAGTCATCCCGCTGCAGGAGGCGCCGCTTGCGGGTGTAACGGTTGCAGACGTTGCTCAATGTCTCCCGTCTCTGGTGGTGAACCGCCTGCAGTGTCGACTGCTCAAACTGGGGAGAAAAAAACAATAGAGATGGTCACCAGTTTGCCCAAGATAACTGTGGCCTACACACAAGACTTGGCCCACAGCTGTCCCCATTCCCCCCCGTTTTCTGGGTTTGGCAGTCACCCATGTAGGATTTTGGGGGACAGCATTGACTTTGAACAAGATTTGGTGCATATAATCCTTGGATAGGCTGGGGGCAAAAGGGAGGACAAAATATGATGAAGAGCTGGGCGAGGAGACAAGTCAAAGGGGGTGAGGGAAGAACAGGCGGTGCAGAGAGGGTCAGTAAGAGGGTATCTTCTAAAAGCATCCCCACACACACATTGTGCTAACATGTTCTCCCTTGCATCAGGCTGTGGGACATGCATGGCCCCATGGCAGCCACTGCAGCCTGTTTGCTGGTGCAGGGCCCCTCCTGCTGCCATGGGGCATTGCTGCAGTGCACTGACATCTACAGCCATAGACTCCTTGTGAACACCCCAGCCAAGAGTGGCACACACTTTCAGGTATGCATGGTGGAAAAGGCATGGATGTGCTGCCAAGGAGAGGCAAAGGGAACTGGTTTTTAACACTGATAGTCCAACCCTGGGGAGTGGGGAGGGGGGAGCTGGAGGTGAGGTGGGGTGGCAAGGCATGATGGAGAGGAGCAAGGTGCTGATGTAGATGGTGGTGGGACCCTTCCTGAAGGCTTTGGGTTCCTTCTCCTGAGGGACTTTTTTTACACAGGCCATTTCAACACCTCTGCTCTGGTCACAGTTTCCTTTTTTGCAGGGATGAGGAATTAAAACAGGGTCATTTATTCCTTTTGACTCTTGCATCAAGGCCTGGCAGCTGCTGCACTGATTTCTGAGGAGCTCAGAGCCCCCTAACCACTGCCCAGCTGAAACGCTACCTTCAGGTCTGGGGATGTGACCTTTCCTGTCATGGTTTTCATCAGAAATCTCAAAATGTCATTAAAACATCTGGGGAAGGAAAACCATTTCCAGGAAGTCAGAAGGGGAAGGTCCCCTCCTCCTCCTGCCCACTCACTGCCCGTTTTGCTCACGAGGGTTGGGAAGTTTCGTGTTCGTCATTACTGGGAACATCCAACAGCCTTTCCCGGCGATGACCACTAACGGCTCCACCACACACCAGCCAGCTCTGACCCTGCAGGGCTCTTGCTCTGATGCCATGCAATTACTGCCATGTCACAAGACAACAGGGGGTCCCTCTTTAGGGTTGTGAAGACAGTCCTGCCGGTGTCCCAAGGTGCCACAGCAAACAGCTCTGCCACCCACAGAGATGTGGCAACCTCCAGATGGGGGCAAGGGCAGGCCACGTCCTTGGTCCCTACACCCCTGCTGTTGACAGCTGTCACTGCCAAGGCACGGCCTTTGCCAAGATTCAGGTGCACCCTCACTGCTCCCTGAGGGACCGTAAGTTGGATTGGGATGCACCAGAGCCTGGGAGAGGCAGAGTTTGTAAAGCACCTTAAAGAAGTTTGGATACTGAGACAAACTGCCCAGCCTGTGAATGAACCAGCAGAATTGTCTCCTTCAGAGAGGTACTAACACCTGGGTAAAAAGCTCCTCCTGCAAGGGATAAACCACATTTGGACCCTTTTGGATCTCATTTCCACAAAAGAAGGAACCTTGTCCAGGTCAGTTTAGCAACTACTTTCTCTGGGAACCTGCATGGGCAGTAACCTGAGACAGGGGTAGGAGAAAGCATCCCATCCCTGCTCCTTCCAATAGGGAGATTATAAGGGAAAACGCTCAGATGGAGGAAATGCAGGTGAACAGATGCTAACTACCACCAAGATACGACTCTGATGTTGTTGGCTACATGGCTATGAAGAAAATACAGCACCTAGGGAGGTGATAAGCATAGCTGAAGAGGCATTCTCATGGTACAATGTCTTGTGACACAGCCAAACCTTTCAATAGAAATTTCTTTTGTTTGGGGCCTCCCTGTCACCTTTTAAACTTGCAAACTCTTTTTGTAAGGGCTTAAAAAAAGAGGCATTTTAATAATGTGATTTTTTTCAGGTGTTTTTCCCTGCACTTGCATAATTCAAAGCTATTGGACCAGAGAGACAGACAGACAGACACTGTCTGCAGGCATGGCAACAAAATAAATGTGACTACTTTTCAACAGCCGCCCACTGGAATAAGTGCATGTCTTGCAGTTATTTCAGAGCAAAATTGTTCCCTTTATTTCCTCCTCTTTAAAAGCCAAGGAAATTAAGCATCACTTTTAAGGAAATAACACCATGACATTCCAGCAGCATTAAGGTTTGCCAGCAGCGTGATCGAGGAAGTCCATATCTGCCATTTCTCAGAGAGCAAATGTACTTTGGCTGCTTATAGTCATAAAAGCATCGACCTAGACAGTAACACAAAGCATCACAAATGGAGAGGAGATCCAGCTCCACCTGCATGGGGCAGTGCTGATGGGCAGTGGGGAGGCAGCAGGGATGACAGCCCACTGCAGGGACCAGCAGCATCGCCCTCTGCCCTGCAGAAGATGACAGCCCCATGGACACAGGGAGATGAAGGGCACATTTAGTGGCTGGGGTATGTTGCCCCAGCCTGTTGCACCGGTTGGAGGGTGGTTTCCTGTAGGACTTTCTGCAGGGAAGCTGTGGGTGAGGATCCCTCTGCAAAGGGATGTGTGGCTGCACGAGGGGAAAATTGCCCACCCAGAGGGGAAACATAGCAAAAGGATCCAAAAACCTTTTGCAGTTTCATCTTCACCCCACTACCTCCATCTCCCTTTCCCCTTACCTGGTAACTCTCATACAGGGCCTGGAGTGGGCTGCGACCGGCCTTCCCCTGCCAGGTGGATCTCATAGCTCCGTCTTCTGAGGCTGGAAAAGGAGTGACAAAAATCAGAGGGGTTGGAAGGGTTTGCTTCCCTCACCTTCTCTGGAGATGCTCAGGTTGGATGAAGGCAACATCCCCTGAGAAGAGACAAATCCACCTGGTTCTGGAAGTGATGTTCAAGCAATACTTGTCCCTCTCTCTTACATTTCAACAAGATCTGCAGCTAGGATTCCAGATCTAATCTTTAACAAATACAAAAACCCATAAATAAAGATTACATCTTATTACAATGTCAAGAGCAACTAGGAACAGTTTGATCCATGTGCATTTGGGAAATGCCACTGTGTGCAGGCTGCATTGTTGAGGGAATGACCCAGGAGAAGACAGGACCTCAGGCAGCATTTCAGCAGCCCTGTGAGGTATGAGATGGTATCTGTGCTTGGCAGAGGGAAGGGGCAGATCCAACACCAGCAGCTCTCTGCTGAGCCCCCAAAGGCAGAGAGTTTGCACTTCCAGGCTCAGAGACATGGACAGGAACAGACAAATTGTTGGTCAGGTGCTTTGTCTGACTAGTAAATAAATTTAAGTTCATTTTTGCTATTTTTTTTTCTTCCCTTCTAAACCAGCACCATCTCCTCTGGTGTTTGAAGCTGAAGACAGCCACCCAAGCAGTCTTCCCTGCCCTTCCCTGCCCTGCAGATCGGCTGGTTTCTTTTCAGAGGTCCATTTGCAGCAGCATCAAACCCAGGGCTGGATCTGGCCAGCCATGAATGTGGCTCCATGTTGGTGACAGCTGCTCAAGCTCTCATGTTCATAAATAATGAAGGGATACAACCACCTTCCAGGCTACGAAGCATCTGCTTCAGCTGCCATTCCTCGGCACCAGGGACCTATTTCCAGCACAGCATGAATAGAACCATGTGGCCTGGATATCCCAAACCTAATGCAGGGAGCCAGCCACGGCAGGAGCACAGGTTCTCGCTTGCAGTAATACCTTTAAGCAGCTGTCCCACAACTCACTCACCCTCTGCTTCTTGTCTCTGACCCTCCCTGTTGGCAGAGGATGCCACAACAGTTTTCACATGAGATTTCTAACCATGGGGGTTGTGCAGCCCTGGAGTTGGCTTCCACAGAAGAAATCACAACATGAGTTTTAAAATGGAAGATGATGTTATTTCTGAAGGGGAGGATAGGAGCCATTCAAGAGATTGCGGCCTGGGAGGCTCCAAGCTCCTGGGAAAAGCACGTGACACAAGCCATTTCTAGCAACATGTAGGTTTCTAATAGAGGCTTTTTGCATGACAGTTTGGGGCTCTGGATCTTTTTCTTCACTGACCATCACCAAACAAAACCAAATTTGTTATACAAGCCCCAGATGGCATCTGTATAACCAAAATAACCAGTAGGAAAAATTCAGAGCCCATCTCTATTTTCATGTGCTTGTATTTTGCTTAAATGAAAATTGCTCCAAAGCACAAAGTAACCAGGGTCTAAGCTAAAGATAATTCATTCCTAGAGCTGCAATTAGGAGGAAGTGACTGCCTGACCTCACAAGATTTCATCAGCAATGCCTGAATGCTTGCGCATCTGCGGGAAATGACACTTCCTGCAGGACTGGATTGATCAAGATGTGACTCAACAAGAAGGTACAGTTTCTTCCTCAATCCCCCGTATCAGTTACCCCACAGGAGGGTGAAATGGCATTTATGCAAATGAGAGATAAGCAGAGAATCCAACGTACAGTGCTGGGCTGAGATGCTTGTCCCAGAGGGGCCCCGTTTCACATTTCCAGGCTCAGCCCTCTGCAAATGACAGGGAATGAGATCAGCCCTGAAAACTCAACTCGCTGCAGCTCAAATCTGAGAGCAAACACCATTAAACTTGAGAGTCTTTCCTGTCTGGGGCTGATAAACTCCTGTTCAATGTAGGAGTGTGACCCCACTGTGGGCTGTCTGCAGTGCCCTGCACCGCAGCAGACACTGGTCCTATATTTAGTAAAAACAACGCAGAGGCGTTTGTTTTTGAGATTAACACGTGCATCAACCAGAACTTTTCTCACCAGGACAGAAGCAAACCCTGGGTGGTTCAGGCTGACTTAAAGCCACTAGAAATGCAAATAGCCCATGCTGGTGCTGCGCAAGAGGGTGTGGAAACATCCCAGGGAAAGGCTTCAATGCCTGGTGCAGCGTCAGGTCATGGCCCTGGAGGAACACTGGCTCGGCAGGAGGTTGTTTGGGCTGAACAAAAGGCAAATCTGCAGTAAAGTGGAGAGGGAGCAGAGGTCGAGCAGGTCACATCCATGCTCTGACCTTTCAGTCCTCTTTTCTTCAGAGGAACCAGCCTGGCCAGCAGCTGCTGCACCTTGCAGGACTCTTGCCAACAGCCCCAGCAGAGATGTTCCAAAATGGATTTTCTCCAGCTTTTTCCCAGTGCAAGATCTGTCAGAGAACGAGGTGTCTTCTCTGGTTAGCCTCAAACCCTCTGGGATCCCCTCTATGCTCTTGCTGTGTAGGGTTCCAGAAAAAAAGGGAAAGAGGGAAAAAAAAAAAAAAAAGGAAAAATCCCCTGCAAGGCTGCTCCCATGCAGCTGGAGGAGGCCTGGAGTGCTGAGCTGGCGGCGAGAAGACGCCGGCACTCCACACTCACTGCATCCTGATGGCTTGTGCACTCCAAAGCGATGACACCATCCCTGCCAGGGTACTGCCAAACCCTTCAGAGTGTCTGGTCCAGCAGCAGGTTTTTACAAAGCTCCACCGCAAGAAGTCTCCCCCTCAGAAACTGTTTGCTTGCACTACACAAAGCATACCAAGGAGAAAAGCAAACAGGATCCTGGCTGGGCCACGACAATGACTTTTGAAGCCAGTGTTAAGCTCCACAGCAGACGGGGAGGTGCAGCTGCAGCCCAGCACAGCTCCACGAGGCACCAGTGCATGGGAGGGCAGCAGCTGGTGCGTGTGTGTGTCCCATGGGACCAGAGTGTCTGTTCTCTGCAGGGCTGGGTCAGGGCAGCTGCAGGTGCCTGTGGCTGACAGAGACAAGCCTGGGCTGCCTATGCTCAAAGCATCCCAAAAACACGTAGGACCACCTGGCAGAGCAACACTGGCCATCACAGTGGTAAGCAGGCCAGGGCTGCTGCAATCCTCTTGAGCCACCAGCAATCTGTAGACGGTGATTTAACAGAGTCCAGCCCCACTAAGGTCCAGCTTTCTCACCTAACATAGTTCTGCCTCATGACCCCAAGATGTGGCCATCCCTTGTTCACCATCCTTCAGCCCCGCCACCTGTAACATCACTGCTCATGCATTCCTCTCCCAGTCCTCTTCCAGTCCTCTCCTGTCACCAGACCCTGAGTCCTCATCATGCAACTCTATGAACACAGCTCAGGCCTAAGCTGAACACCCCCCCCCCCCACACACCCCCTTCCCTGGATGCCTCATCCCAACCACCTTATCACTCAATCACACAGCTTGTTCCCATTCTAGGGTGTTTCCCCATTTTGAAACTCCAGTTTGGGAAGGCCAAGGAATACTAAAATAAATGACAGTGTTGAGGAGGGAGTATCATCTGAGTAAATCAATGGTTTGTGCTGTATTTTGGTACCATAGCCCTGAGTACAGCAGGATATTCCATCATGGAGAAGCTGCCAAGATCTTCCCATACTGGCTTTTCTCCTGACTTTACAGCTTGTTACTGAGGTTCCCAGATTCCACCACATGCAGTGGTAATGCTTGGAAATTTAGCATTGCCACAACTGCATCTGAAAGCAGGGACGTTGCTTAGCCAAGGCATATCAACTTTCTCAAGGGGAAAAAACATCAACCCTTGGCNAGGTTTTACAAGGCTCCACCGCAAGAAGTCTCCCCCTCAGAAACTGTTTGCTTGCACTACACAAAGCATACCAAGGAGAAAAGCAAACAGAATCCTGGCTGGGCCACGACAATGACTTTTGAAACCAGTGTTAAGCTCCACAGCAGACGGGGAGGTGCAGCTGCAGCCCAGCACAGCTCCACGAGGCACCAGTGCATGGGAGGGCAGCAGCTGGTGTGTGTGTGTGTGTGTCCCATGGGACCAGAGTGTCTGTTCTCTGCAGGGCTGGGTCAGGGCAGCTGCAGGTGCCTGTGGCTGACAGAGACAAGCCTGGGCTGCCTGTGCTCAAAGCATCCCAAAAACACGTGGGACCACCTGGCAGAGCAACACTGGCCATCACAGTGGTAAGCAGGCCAGGGCTGCTGCAATCCTCTTGAGCCACCAGCAATCTGTAGACGGTGATTTAACAGAGTCCAGCCCCACTAAGGTCCAGCTTTCTCACCTAACATAGTTCTGTCCCATGACCCCAAGATGTGGCCATCCCTTGTTCACCATCCTTCAGCCCCGCCACCTGTAACATCACTGCTCATGCAGTCCTCTCCCAGTCCTCTCCCAGTCCTCTTCCAGTCCTCTCCTGTCACCAGACCCTGAGTCCTCATCATGCAACTCTATGAACACAGCTCAGGCCTAAGCTGAACACCGCCCCCCCCCACCCCCTTCCCTGGCTGCCTCATCCCAACCACCTTATCACTCAATCACACAGCTTGTTCCCATTCTAGGGTGTTTCCCCATTTTGAAACTCCAGACTCCAGTTTGGGAAGGCCAAGGAATACTAAAATAAATGACAGTGTTGAGGAGGGAGTATCATCTGAGTAAATCAATGGTTTGTGCTGTATTTTGGTACCATAGCCCTGAGTACAGCAGGATATTCCATCATGGAGGAGCTGCCAAGATCTTCCCATACTGGCTTTTCTCCTGACTTTACAGCTTGTTACTGAGGTTCCCAGATTCCACCACATGCAGTGGTAATGCTTGGAAATTTAGCATTGCCACAACTGCATCTGAAAGCAGGGACGTTGCTTAGCCAAGGCATATCAACTTTCTCAAGGGGAAAAAACATCAACCCTTGGC